AAAGTTTTCCTGGAAGTATAAAAAAAAAAAAAATAGGTTTGTGGCCTTGAACACCAGTGATTGAAAACTAGATGAGTTTATGGGATGATAGCAAGGGTTTCATTCATGAATAAAGCAAAAGCTCATTATAAAAACAGAGGGGAAAGAAAAACTCGAAATTGCACTGCAGCGTTAGGAAGCCAAAACAAAATAAAAATATGCCAAAATGAGAGAACTGAACAGAAGATTTCAAAGGGCAGCCCAGAAGGGGGCTCAGGTGGCCTAGTGGCAAGAAGCTGTGTTGCAATCCCAAAGGCACACGGTTTGAATCCACCAGATGATGTGCTGGAGAAAAGGACAGTCCCCTCCTGTACCAGTTGGATTTGACTCCACAGTACACAACAAGGAAAAGAAAAGGGGGGGAGGGATAAAAACCAAACCACAACAAAGTGCAGCTCCGGAGGACAAAACAAAGTATTATAATGGAATGTGCAGAGAGCTAGAACTGGAGAATAAAAAGAGAAGAATACTTGTTCTGCATTTCTCAAGCTGAAGGAGCTAAAAAATTTTAAGCTTTGTGTTGCAATATTGAAAGACGCTATGGGCAATATATTGACTGACCCAGAGAGCATCAAGAGAAGAAGAACACAAGAGTCACTGTACCGGAAGGGATTAAATGACATTGAAAAATTTCAGGAAGTACCATGTGAACAGGAGCCAATGGTAATGAAGAAGGAAGTTGAAGGCACTGGCAAAAAATAAGGCCCCAGGAATCAATGGGATACCGGTCAACTTGGTTCAGTTAACAGAAGCAACCTTGAATGCACTCACCAGGGACAGAGGCAGCTGGATGAGAACTAGATGTGCAGATGTCCTGAGAGGTGACCCAAGGCTGCCGCCTACCTGATTGGACAGCACAGAGTGAGTGGGAGAACTTCCTGCTCTCCAGCCCTCTAGGTCCTAAGCTCTTGGACCAGGCTGCCTCCGCAGTGCTGAGACTTAGAGTGGGGGACTAGAGCACACCATCCCATTTCTATCCCCATAGGATTACATGGTGCGTGGCCTCCTGGGCAGAGCCACAGACGACTTCAGTGAGGATGGGCAGCTGGTGGAGAAGACAACCTATGGTGAGAGACTGTGGGAGCCCATGGTGGTGGGAGGGTCAATACTCTCCTATGGGTTTCTCCCCACCTCAGAGCTCTACTTGTTACCTCTCATTAACTCTTCCCCCCCCCTTTTTTTAAATTAGTATCAATTTCAATGAAAATTTACAGGGACTTTGGGTTTCCATTCATTCATTGTTGCACTTTTCTCCCCTCCCAACCCTCCTCCCTAGTACACTACCCTCTTGGAAAAGTAAAAGAAAACTTCTTTCCTTGTTTTACAAACCCTCCCCCGGGTTCACTCCACTAGGCAGCCTTTGCTCTGGATTCCTGTCATGACAAAAATACCTAATCACATATCCCTTTTAAACAGTTCTCCCCCTCATCTGTTTCAATGCAGTATACATTATTGAACCCATCTTTCTCAGTCTCCCCACCAACCCTGGGGTCATTCCTGTTTTACAACAGTGGCACCATGTAGTATTTGTCCTTTTGTGACTGAGATACTTCACTCAGCATAATGTCCTCCAGGGTCACCAGTTTTTAATAATATTGCATGAGTTCCTTGTTTTTCAATGTAGCATAGTATTCCGTTGTGTGAATATACCACACTTCTCTATCCATTCGTTTGCTGATGGGCACTTGGGTTGTTTCCAACTCCTTGCTAT